AATCAAAATTAGGGGGGGGAGGGGGGGGGGGGGGGGGGGGGGAGTGAGGTAGAGGGTTGGGAGGGAGTCTGAATATCAAAAAATTAAGAAATTGACATTGACATAGGTACCGCTCTTTTCAACAAAATTGCTCCTCCGTACATCGCATAACGAGAACTGCGCAATTTGAACTTCTTTTCGTCAAAACTTATTGCGACGGTCTCACTCATAACAGCCCTCGCTGCCGACTGCCACTGATCCAGCCTGCTGGATACCCTTTCCTAAGAAAAATGCTTCAAAACCCCAACATGATGGTGAAGCGACCGTTGCTGAGTTTTCGCCTCCAGAACTCCATCACTTTCAGCTGCCACAATGGTTTAACCCTGCTATAGTCAGCAAATGTATGGGGATTGCGATAGATTTTGTTTCGATTCAAAACATTCTGCCTAATCCAAGACATGTGCACATGAGATCTGGGCTTCATATGCGCGAACTCTCCGTTCAACCCAATATCTGAGCACATTTCATTATTATTGCTGTTGCAGGACTGCTTGCAACGTTGCGATTGTGCCAATGGTATGCACTGCGATCCGTCTGATGGCGAATGCATCTGTCCTCCTGGCAAGAGAGGAGCTAAATGTGAACAAGGTAATGAACATAATTATCACACTTTTTTCCAAAATGCGGCTGGTTCTAACAACCAGAGACGTACCCAAACAAGCAAAGATCAAAAGGGTAAGGAGTACGGTGTTCGGCATTGACCAATCCCACGCAAGCATGCTACGCTTCCACTTTCATTTGGAGTCGTATGGCTACCGTCTCAGACAAATTTCCTACCAATTAACCGATCCTGGAGGGTATGGAAGGCCTGGAGGGCCTGGGCTCTGTACGATTCCGGCCTGTGCGCGTGGTGAGTGGCACCACTTCCCGTCACATGAACTCACCCACGTGTCGCTACCAATAACATTATACAAAACTTTTGGGGGTGTCATCTTCGAGCAATCTTTCCGCTTTCTGTTGAAAGCCGTATGTATTGGTGCACAATTATATGTACAATGAACTTCCGGGTGATAGTCTGATGTACAAAGCCTGTTTTGCCCTCCCAGACGAAACGGGTAATAAAAAACAGAAATTTGACAAGCAACAAAGAGATGGAGGTGTTTTGAGTCAGACCGGGATTTAATCGGGATAAGGGCAATTTATCTGTGCCATCATAGCACTAAGCTTGAGCAGTTTCCTTCGGTAGGAAGAGAATGGGACATGAGCTTGTCCTCTATGCGACTGTTTTTTTAGTTTATTGGTTGTTCGTAAAGAGGAAAGTGAGATATTTCGAATTAGATGAGCGCGGACACTTTTGGCTCTGGCTGCCGAGCGTTTGTACTTGTGCGACGCGCCTGATGACGCGTTTTGGAGTCTGCACATGCAACCGCGGAGAGAAAAAAGGTAGTGCTCCGATTGGTTGGTTCGTCTGGGTTTTACCATGTGGCATTGCAATGAAACACCGAAGTTGAAGTATTTTCTCGCCACTTCTTTACTTTTTGTTTGAGTTCGCTCTGAACGCACCTATACTTGACCTCATCGGATACGGAGGATTTTGCGAAGGGCACTTACTGATAACGGATAGTCGTCTCTGGGGTGAGACATCAGGTCAGCCGACGAGGGGTACGTAATTCTTGGGAGTGAAGGGTTGGTGGCGATAGTGTGGTGTTTGGGATCAGAGTTTTCTGATAATTTGAAGATTTAAGAAAGGAGTCTGCAGGTTGTTGAAAATATTGTAGATATAGTTTCCTCGTCTCATTTGAGGTTTTAGAGGGAAATGCAGAGTCCAGCTATCACATTTCGGCTTGCCACAGAATGAAATACTGTGAAAGCAACTATGGTGATAAGGGGATGAGGTTGGTGGTCGATGAGGGCGTTGTATTAGGGGACAGCTCTGAGGCTGATGGTGGTGATGAGGTCTATCGAACACCTCCCCAAGGAGGTGTAAAATTTTGGTCAAGAACCCTACAGGAGTACTGTTTTGGGACGTTCATTCTGCACTGCAGACAACCAGTATCACTTAACATACAGTCTCCCAAAACAATTATTTTAAGTCGCAATACATCACTTTGTATCAAAGATGTGATCGACCTTGCCTAAGGATTAGGTGCCGATGCCGCTTATTTTGACTGGTGCTACCAAGTATGTTTAGAAAATATTGATTCCGTCATCCATTTCTATTTGCTATTTCAATCTTAATAGATGATACTGCGCGCTGTTACACCATTTGTTGCACTTGGAACTACATTACTGGAGATTGCCGTTGTCCTCCAGGATGGACGGGACCGGATTGTGCGACGCCATGTCCTCCTGGAAGGTAAAAATTGAAGAACAATTTCTTCTTTTGAAATAGCAGAATTTTCTCAGTTTCGTGGTAGAGCCATTGGAATTTATGCCCTCTTACTGAAGAACATTTCAGATGGGGATCTGGCTGCGGTAGTGAGTGTGAGTGCTCGAATGGCGCGACATGTGATCGTCTCACCGGGTTTTGCGACTGCCCTGCTGGATTTATGGGGAAGAATTGTGAAACAGGTTCGTTGTGGAATTTCTTTTTTTTTCAGAAATCAAAAAATCTTCGATAAAGTCGCTGTATTCGGTGACACTCCAACTGACAGCACAATACCACATGTCACCGTATTCATCCGAGCTGTGATACTACTACTAATACGAATTTCTCGAAGAGTAATCGCTAGAAAAAGGAACACTCACCGGTGCATGCGCACCCTCATAGGGTTGGTACTAGTCGGAAAACGCTCATAAGTGAATTCGGCTGATCACTGATAAACGATGTCTGTCACCTGCTAAGTGATCGTTGTGAAGTTGTAAAAAGTGTGGCCACTAAGCTTCGATCGGGTCAACCTTCGGAAACATCTGACTCGCGATAACGAACATCCATTGCAATGAAAGAATTCCATGATGGTTTCAGATGACCAGAAGGAAGAAGAGCTTTCCCCTTTTATTTCTCATTCCCAAGCGTAACTTCTCAAAATAAGAAGAGGACTTCTGAGTACTTCTTCGAATCATCACGTCATTGCTAGCTATTGAAATACCATTCTTTCCAAAAGCTGACTTGCACGTTGAGATGCACACCTCACGATAAATTGGGTGGAAAGTACTATTATTGGGCTAACAGAGCTCGAAGCATGGGCCCCGCCAAAAGCCCATGATGCTCACTTGGGCTCTCAGCATCTAGTTTCCTCGCAATAGTCCCCCAATTTTGCATTTTCTGCATGGAATCGTCAGAAATGTGAACACTCAATGGCTTATTTGCTTTCTACATTCCATAGACTTACTCTCTTCGTGAATTCTATTTGCTCATATCCAAGCCATAAGAGCTGAATGGAGCCATAGAGGAATCATACTAATACATGTATACTTATACACCAATTAGCGAGCCCGCCTGAACTAGGAAGAGTTGCTAGGATCTTTGTATCCTTAAGCAGTCGTAAGCGGATGCGGCTTTGGACAGTGATCACTAATGGTGCAACAGTTGTGATCCAGTTTTGCCTAGCAGCTTTATTCACCTGTTTCCATGTTCAG